GAGTGGGGGGGGGGGGTGGGAGAGGGGGATTTATTATCTACTGCATAACAATTAAACTGTTGTCAAAAAAGTTTAAACTGAAGTTTGTGTGTGAGAGAGAGAGAGAGAGAGAGAGAGAGAGAAAGAGAGAGGTGAGAACCTCTTAAGTGTTTGTATGTGTGTGTCTAGAGAGAGAGAGAATAACACTTTCATGTGTTGGGAGAAAGAGAAGGTAATGCTGGTCCACCACACTTTCATGACAAGCGCATCTTTTTATTATGCAGTTTATCATAAAACACTGGCAATATTTAAAATCATTTTTAAGGACTTACACTCTCTATTCCAATACTTAAAAAGGGTATAAATTCGATTTTTATTCATTGATATCTTTGATTAACATAGAGTGTGTATGGAGTATGGTGGCAGTGATATCAGCAGGACGTTTCACTGGCTACTTAAACGAGCAGGATTTCCATACAAAGAATGCAACTTAAAGAGTCTACAAGATGCCATGTTTATACAAGAACTGAAGGAAAGACAGTGCCATCTTGACCAGGTAGATTCTTGCTTCATGTATTGGTATTGCTACAGGCTAAGCTAATAGACACTGCATCGCGTTTATACAGTGCCTTGGAAGTTTTATCCAAGGTCCATTCATTTTAATAGGCAAGCTGTGTACATATATACTTAAGCATTGTAATAAGCTTTATATTTTTTAATAAATGTCTGCATTTGCACAATAATAGCATTTACTTTCAACACTTTAAATGTCTTCTTAAGAATTTACCAAATTAATGAAAAATTTACCATCGAAAATGAATAATATTTTAGCATTTGATGACAGTTTTAAATTCCACACAACTCCCCCCACCCCAACAGCCACCCCTTTATTCCTGCCCCGCCCCCCCCCCCCCCTCCTCCCCTTCAGTCACAAACCTATCGAGAAATTATGTTTGCTTTCTCCAGGACATGTTTGGTTCCCGTGACTACCACTTCCAGATCAAGCACCCCGGGCATCCCATTGTCAACTACTCCATGCAGGTGGGGGATGAAACCATTCTTGCGGCAATGTCTCCCTTCTTCCCCGATCTCCTTGGTCTGAAGGGTGCTCATCTGGTGAGACTACAGCCCAAGGGGGAGAGCGACCCGGCAGATATCTTTGATGATGACTATCTGGCACAGACTCAGAGCAAACAGGAACAGGTGAGGTGGAGCGGGGGAAGGATAAGATGCATGAATTTAGCACACATGATTACTTCTAATTTAGAAAAGTGACTTAAACTAGCCATCAGTAAAGTTAATAGTAGTGTGGTATTTGACTTTGCTGTGTTTGTGTGTGTGTGTGTGTGTGTGTGTGTGTGTGTGTGTGTGTACGTACGCACAGGGCTGTAATGTATCTGATTTGATCATGCTATGAGGGGCCATTACCTGGATCTGCCTTTGTATACTCTCATATTTCACACACTGACTAAAATATGCTTTATGATGAAAACAGAAAATAATAAAACATCTACATGGTTAGTACCATAATGAAATCTTGCTCAGTAAAAAGTCATTGACATTTACAGCTGTTTTCCCAAAAGGTGATTTTATTAGTTTATATTTTTTAAATGAGGTGCCTGATTAGAAATCCCAATCCTGTAATCCCAGAGAAGAGATCAGAATTATGAAGGTAAAAAAGGATCATAGAGAGGATGAGGGATGGTGGGGAGGAAAGGGGGGCTGAGGTCCAAAAATAATGTGATTTTTTAGTTAAAACTGCTGTGAATGGGACTTGGCAAGTCTCAGCCTTCATACTGCCATTTCTCATATCAGCCACTATGACTTCAGGACAGTTGCACTAAAAACATGCTATCCCTACCAGCATAATTGAGGACATAGGACCCAGTTTTCAAAACAAACACATGTATTATATATGACCCTGTTGTCCAACTTCAGTTATATGCTTGACACTCATCCCAAATTATGTATGTGTTTACTTATATATGCTGCATGACAGATCACTAAAATAGTTACTTCCTTGTATTGCTTTAGTGGCAGGCCCAAAGGTGGGCGAGTGTGTGTGTGTGTGTGTGTGTGCGTGTGTGTGTGTTGGGGAGATGTCAGGGGTTTAAAAGCCAGAAGTTATCTACTCTGAAACTAAATTTGATCTACTAGATTCTATTTTAGTTTTCAATTTGGGTAAATTAAGGTAGTAAAGGGGCCCATGTTTTCCAAAAAGATTCCCCCTTTGATGTTGCTGGCAGTATTTTATACTTTGTTTTGTCACCTTGTTGTTGAAATGAAATAGATTTTATATTTCTAATTTTTTTGATATGTAAAAGTCGTTATATAATTCAGAATTTTTCCCCATTGAAAAGATCCATTCATTGCTATATTTATATCTGGGCTTCCAGAGCTTGTATCAGTCATTTGATAATCAAAACCTTTGGTAAAGGGTGCAAATGCCTTGCCTCTTATAATAGGGTAAAAAAGGGGTTTTGTCTCTTTGAAATTAGAAATAATTTATATTTTCTACTACACCTACATTTTTCTGCTACATTTTTGTTGGTTGGCTTTAGGCTGCCAAGCTTGTTGCAGCACGAAAGAAAGGTACCACAGACCAGTCCTCGCAGCCTCTACCAGACAGCTCGCTCGGCCAAATGGACGACACACAGTTCAGCACTCAGGCCTTTGATGAAGACTCCAATGATGCCGGAGATAGCCTCTCCATGGACGCGGCTGCAAGCAATACGCCGTCTACCAAGAACAGTGGAGCTTCAAATCAGACGAAGAAGCCAGAAGAGGAGCTGGCCACAGACAAACTTTTAGGCCTTGAACAAGCCATACTTCACAGTATTGAGAAATGTGGTATGTGTATATGTATTTGTTAATGAACGTAGACAACTTGAATGGGGCATCTAGTTGAAACATATCTCAGGGTCACCCCAGCAATTATTTTATTTAGCAAAATTATCCATTTTTACTACATATTTGACTATTTGATATACAGTAATTGTTACTGGTGCCATGTATAAATTCTTTTTTTTTTTTCTTGACAAAAAAATGATTTGTGGAAAAGACCAATCTCACTCTGTCAGTCCATTCTCACATATGGTATTAACATTATGATAGTATACTTACTCTAGGTCAGTGATAAACATGCTGTGTGATCTTTCAGACACCGAGGAGGTCAAGAAGAAGATGTATAGCTGTATAGTTGTTGTTGGTGGGGGGCTGTCACTGTTCAAGGCAGCTGACAGCTGGCTGCAGTATAGAGTGTGGGTCCAGATGCCAGCCGCAATGAGGCTGTCTTTGGAAACTATGGATGTGATTACCAATCCCAAGGTAGAGTATTCCTTTTTGTCCTAGGGCTAATTTTAGCTTGTGCTTTTATATTTTATTACAGATGGCTGAAATATTCAGCAAGTATGAATTTTCAGCCCATTGATAGGTTAGATAATTATTTTTCAGCATTTGCTTTTATCAACTTTAAAAATGTGAGTGTATCATATGTAGGTGTAAAATCCAATTAATAGCACAAATCTCTATATTGTACCTCAAACAATATCACTTTAACAGACATTTTCAAAATTCTATTCTGATAAAGAAACCTCAGACAACTTGAAGCAAAATATTGTACAGGTATGGTTACTAAGAGTACCTTTTTATAGAATCTATAAATGGATGGCATTGATAATATTTCTAGGAGCTTGATCCCAGGATAACCTGCTGGAAAGGAGCTGCCATAATGAGCTGTTTGGACACATCACAGGAAATGTGGATTCGGCAGCGAGAATGGAGAACTGTTGGACCAAGGTTACTGCGCGAGAGGGCAGCATTTGTGTGGTGAATTACAGAGACCAAAACCACAGTGGAGAATTGTTGGACCTAGGTTACTGCGGGAGAGAGCAGCATTTGTGTGGTGAAATATGGAGATGACAGCCAAAGTTGAGAACTGTCGGTCCTAGGTTACTGGGTGGAAAGCAGCATTTGTATGATGAAATTTTAAGACCCCAGCGCTAGTGGAGAACTGTCGGACCTAGGTTACTGCGAGAGAAAGCAGCATTTCTGTGGTAAATTATGGAGACTGCAGCGAGAATGGAAAACTGAGCTAGTGGGACAGAGCTGCATTTATTTGGTTGTGTTTGGAGACCACAAAGGGAGTGGAGAACTGTTTGATATAATATGGTAAAATATGGACATACTGACTTAACAGTAGGAGAAGAGATAGAACTGTCATTCCTAGGCTGTTGTGGGAAAGAACTTTATTTGTGAAAATTATGAATTTGATAGCAGGGTTGAAAACCTGTAGAAATTGGGTTACTGTAGAGAGGGCATGATTTGTATGGTAAAGCATGAAAAGTATATGAAAGTGGGAGAACCATAGAACCCAGAAGAACATAGAACCTGTGGAGAGGAAGAGAGCACCATTGGTGTGGTGAAATAATGATGTGACATGCTCTACATTCAGTCAGTCACTTAAAACCACTTCATAGGTTTTTAAGTTCAAACACAACAAACTAGTATATTGTGTTTAAAAAATGTATTTTTTTTGTACCAGTCATGATTATAGATCAGACTGATTTCAATTTTTTTATACTGTAAATAAATATCTTTTATACAATTTATTTATATTGTGTTGAGAATCTTTCAAAAAAAAAAAAGGCTTTACATCTTCAGTGGCTGCATGATCACCACCCAAACTTTAGGAACACGGCAAAAGAAGTAATTATTTTCTTCTTCTTCTTTGTCACATTTCTCCAAGTTTTAATGGCACTGTTGTTTCTTTCTGTCTCTTAAGACTGCACACATTGGCTGCAATTTTCAGATTCCTGTCCACAATTACAACAGTTGGTCAAAAACTTCAACACTCCATCTATGTTAGAGGAGCATTTGATTGAATTAATTTTACAAAAAGAAGAAATTGTCACCACTTCAGTTTCCTTCCTTTTCCTTTTTTGTTCTTTGCTTTTTTCACCCGTGCTCTGACTTTCTTGATGGCTTTCTTATTCATCCATACTGGATACTGTCCATTTTCATCACGCATTGTCTTTTTATCATATTTTCTTGGAGCCTGGTCAATATCCATGGTTTCTGAAAAGTATGATAAATGTAAACATTAGCACAGTGGACCTTTTTATTTAAAGTCATTTTTATTAGAAGCCTAAATAAACCAATTAATTAACTCTGAATTACAGATTTTGATGTCTCAAAAATAATCCAAAAGTCAACGATATGTGTGTGTGTGTGCGCGCATTTGAGTGTAATTTATGTTATTTTATGGTACTGTATCTGTCTAGCAGGTGAAACTCAATAGCTGTATATGTACATATTATATCATATCATGGACCTACATTGCCAGCCATGTACACTTTGGAGTTTAAATAATAAAAACCAATAAATTCATCGGAAATTACATATGTAGAAAATGTATACCTCCTGATGTGGTTTCTTTATTCTTCTTTATGTTACTGGCATCTGTTACTGGAAAAATGAAAAACAAATAAGAATCTCAGCCTTTGATCAGTTACAAAAATAAATAAATATACGTAAAACTTAGAGTAAAATTAATAGTAAGGATAATAAATCTTTGCTATGAAAGAAGAATCTTGCAGTGACTGGCCAGGGTAAAGCTGTGCTAATTAGCTCAGTGGCAGAGCACTTGCATGGTAAGCAAGTGTCCTGGGTTCAATCCCTGGTAGAGTCAGGTATTTTCCCCAAAACGCAGTTTTGTAATTGTCTGGTGTGGGTACTGGTAGCATTGTAGCGCTTTGGAGTGAGTGCAGAAAAATCACCAGCCAGACCAGGAATCGAACCCGGGACCCCTCGCTTACAGGGCGAGTGCTCTTACCTACTGAGCTACCCGGCCGGTGTGGCGTGATAGACCCGTGCCGTGACGAAACCGTTCTGCACATGCGCATTGAGGGTAGATTGAAAGAAGTAACTTCCGGTATGACGATGTCGTCCTAAGTAGGCGCTATGTTTGCACTGACCTATCATCTTTCAATTCATAATTCAGTGGTTTTCGTCATGAGAGAGTATGTATTTGATAATCTTATTACTACAGTATACGGGGGAATATTGGAAGTGAGCTTTTGATCGTGACTGAACTGTTTTGCTCTGTGTGCAAAACGTGGTAGATCTAAGACTCACGCTACAATGTTCTTTCAATTCAGAGTACAGTCATTTTCATTAAAAAGAAATTGTGTGTTTGATAATACTACAACTTTCTCTACGGGGAAACGTTGGAAATGCATGTGCAGCTACGAACTGTAAGTCAACAGACTGCTAACCCCGCGTGAAGAATCCGTCAGAACGGTTTATTCACGACGACGGTTTCTTCACGTGACACCGGTTCTACCTGCCCCTGGCACTACAGCATTTATTACTGATTGGTAATCATCAGTTCCCTTGGAATACAAGACACTGAGAGTGGAAACTTATTATTATGGATGCCCTTTTCAAATAAAATTGTTTCTAACTGTACCTGTATACAGTTCTTTCATGTCTACGTCTTTCTGTGCCTCTGTACCAAGTATCTTTTTCAACTTGGCCAACTCTTTTGGTGCATTCTTCACGCGCTTCACGGCACGCATCTTTCTTTTCCATTTACTTCGAAGGCTCTTTGCCATGGCTAAGGCACCTTAGTTGTACTTGATATGGGCCGTTTCAGTTGTCAGTCAAAGCAGTTTTTATTTACACATAGTAAAAGGTGTTTGAATCTGGAATATAGATGTAATGTTATGAAATACAAACTGTTTGATGCCCTATACTTCTGTCCTCAATCCCTACCGCCCTTTCCAAAAATAATATTTTTCATAAATGAAAATTATCAAACACAAGCCGAAATATTTTCATACCGCTAGCTTACGGCCAACCAGGGCGAAGCCTTCATCAGACAGATCTTTTTAGTTGGGACTTCTAGACAAAATTGCAAACATCCACATTAATTCTCTGTTCATACATGCAGTATATCTCTTATCTTAGTTTTAAACTGGATTTAAACTGAAGGAAAGATTTAGAATTATACCTTCTACGCATAGAAAATTAAATGACTAATCAATAAAACATATCAAGTGATTTAAATCAAAAGAAAACCAGATTTGAAACACCTGCTTACCTTACCTATAACAACACGTGTATGTACAAGTTACAGCTATAGATGTCGCACTTGCCTCACATTAAAATGCTCCATGGTCGACTTCAGTGCCACCTACACACCAACTCTCCGTCCCAACTTCCGTGCTCATAGATTGATGACGTTTAATGCAAGTCTAAATTTATGAATCAAGCGTGCTTCGAATAAAACCGGTAATGTACTACATTTTGTAATTATATCTGACTTCAGGTTCCATTCAAGTTTTCCTTTGATGTGTTAGCACAGCCAGTAGGTGTCAGAAACTGTAAATGAGCGTGTTAATATGAGAATTAATTACGTTCTAGTGTGTGTGTGTGTGTGTGTGTGTGTGTGTGTGTGTGTGTGTGTGTTTGTGTGAAAGGGGGGGGGGGGGAGGGGTGAGACATCATAGCCTCAGTTTTCAGCCTTACATGGTAACGGTACCCTTACAAAACACACTGCCAGGGTGTTATGAGGCCTTAACTGCATAGCATGTGCATGCAGGGTGACTCAGAAACTGAGGCAACCAACAGTCCCATTATCATTTTATGCATTTACATGTACTGTAGTGGTACATAACAGCACAAAAGTGACAATAAGAAACTTCAATAATAGGAGTGATGGAGGCTGATTATAATGCAGTCTAGGAGTAAGCAGTTGATGTAATAGTTTTAAATCATTTCCTTCAAGTTGTTTAAAAAAATACAAGATCTTATAAAATGAGTTCAAATTATTGTTTATAAAATGAAAGTGATATTTTCTCTTGCAGTGAGACTGGAGTGCCTGAGATGGAAAATTAACTTTACTTTTCTTATTACCAAGAATAGTCATGGAACATTTAGTAAAGTTAATAGGCTTTACAGGGAGCATTTCATCAAGAACAGCTCTCCGTCGAGGTATTGTATTCAAACCAGGGCCCTTACTAGGTGTGCCAAAGACAAGAACTGTGACATCAGGACCTGACATCAATGAGGACAAGACATATAATAGGACTGAAGCCAGTTTGAAACAAAAACAGAATAAACATTATTTGAACAGAAATGGTGCTTTTTCTGATAAAACTACCAGGGCGCAAAATGAACAGCCTGGAAAACATCAGTATCGCCCTGACAAGAGTTTCACTGATGATGTTTCTTCAACGGGGGAGTATAGGAGAAATCAAAGAGTCCAGCCTCGTAGGAAAGATAACTTTAAAAACAGTGTCCCTGTTCATGGTGCCAGGCGACCTAGACATGACAGTGAATTTATGGCAAGAGAAAGAGAAATGGAGAGGCAGAGGGTTAAGACACGCAAGGAAAATAAAAACATAGGACACACAAAACAACATCCGTACCTTGAACGTTCATTATGGACCAACAGCAAGGCTCTGACAAAACACTTGTTACAAAATGTTCTCTATCAGGATAGTGAGTGTGGACTTTTCTAATAATTCAATATATATACTATAATAGTGTGAGTGGTCAGAAAAGTATATTTTTTATAGTAGTGCTAGTTAAATTAAGTCCTTTTTTCAGTGGCTTTAATTTTAAATCTTCTTACAGAATGTGCCCAATTTCAGTTTTGCACTAAATTTTTTTAATAACGTTGTTGACATTTTCAACATACTCCTTTCAAAACCTATGAAAGAATAACAAAAGCCAATTCCTCACTGAAGTTCACCAGGGGCAGATTCAGGATTATTTGAACAGTGACTTTTAAGTTTAACTTAAAGTAAGCTAATGATTGCGAAAAATTACCAAAGAAGTAAAAGCCTTATATGTTATCATTTCAGAACATTACATAGCTTTTAACAAACCAGCTGATGTCCCCATCTTTAGTAAGTAATACCTTGGGTGATAAAGACACAACATGAATGTAAATAATTATACATGGATTGTCTTCACTGGCTTAAGACTTCAACTAATTGAATATTAAATTTTTTTGTTCCATACTTCATTTGTTGCAAATACTTAATCAATAACAAAGTGGTTTTACTTGAAATCTTTCACTTACATGCTGTGCATTCTGAATCACAAAAAGCTATAAAACTTTCTTTAATATAATTCTAATTTGTTTAGCTCCAAATCTCGACAAGAAAAAGAAGAGAGATGCCATTCCAGAGGACCCGATAGAGCATCCCTCCCAGATACCATCAGTAATGTCCGTTCTGCCAGAATTGAAAGACAGCCTCAATCAGAGCCACATGTTTCTCACCTGTTATCAGAAGGATTGTAGGTAATGTGGAGCATAGCATTGTCATTTTTCTCTTTTCAGAGTTGCGTAATATCTAGGATTTTTCCTTAACACAAGAGTGTTGATTTTCTGCTCTTACGCCTCACTTTTTTTTTGTTATCCAGGGAGTCTCAATTTCATATGAAGCACAGTGGTGTCCTTCTGTTTGTCAAGTCATTGGAGGCAGATAAAGCGCTACGCAAATATGCTCAGAGTATTGTGTCCCAGAAACTGGAGTCACAGACATTCTGGTAAGTGAAACAATCCACTCTCCAACCAGTTAAAACTAAATAAATGTTTTCATTCAATAAATTATTATTAACAGATATTTACCATGTAAAAAAAAAGGTCTGGGCTCCGTATCTCGAAAGGTTCGCTATGTTGCGCACGTGCGCTAGCGTCTCGATTCCATAACTCGCCTATACTCGTCCCATACCATACATTGTAGCCTCTATTTGATATAGCGATTTGCAATACGCGATGCTTTCGAGATACGGGGCCCTGATATTTTATTGCTGTAACAATTGTCATTGTAATTATTATATTTAAAGTTTTTTTTTGTGGACCAGGTATGTGAAAGGTAAAAAAACAGTTACTCTTATTAAAATTGTTACCAATTTAATGTTTAAGAAACAAGTAATTGTGATATATGTTACATTTCCACAAACAGGGCAGTAACAGTTGGTATTCCTACAAAAGATGAAGGTGTGGAAGAGCTTGGGCTGGAGAGGAGAGAACTTCAGAAAAATGTTTTGGTAAGGAAGCTGGTAACAGGAAAATTTCTACATTATCCCCTCCTTCTGTGACATATCTTATTTTATTACTCATAACTACAGTGTAACAGACATGGGGGAAACTTTGGAGATATTGAAGGTCTAGAGGATCTGCATTACAAAAGATCTGCAGATCTGCCTAATTCTGTGCTGGTCCAAATTTGATTAGATTGGCAAACTTAAGAAAGAGTTTTGGAATTTGTGACAGAACAGAAAGGCACAGTTGAATAGCTCTAAAGCAGGCACTGGGACTATTTTTGAATAAGTCCCCTTTTGTTGTTTATAAACATTCATAAATTTTATTAAATTTCTTCTCCCAGCATCAGGTATTTTATTTAACCTGTCTGGCTGTCACACTTGTAGGCTGCTCATAAAATCAAGGCAGTATGAACAGATGCCAGGTCTGCTGTAACACAAAATCTAGCTAGTGTACACAAATGATGCTGAGATATGTGTGGAGAACAAGTTTAATATCATTCAGTCTTTCCTTAAATTTTAATATTGTTTTCTTTCTATAACATTTTTGCCACTTTGTTCTGTATGCAGTCATTTGTGACCAGAAATTGCTCCCTCAAGGCAAGGAAGAACCGCACAGTGATAGTGCCTACTATTGCCCACACAGTTCTGGCCAAAAACAATGAAGTTGGCAGTGCCTTGGTCCAGCTGAAGCCCACGAATAGTAAGCATTACCAGCAGGAATAGCAATTTTTCAGTTTTTTTTTTAACAAATAATTTATTTAGTCGAACATTGAGGGGTTGCACCTATTTTGAATGAAATCAGATGGTCTGTATAAATATGGAAAAGTGATGATCTCAAAAGAATCTCCAAAAATTTTTGCAAAAATTTTTTAGATGTTTTTGTGGCATGCTTTGGCTTTGATTCAGTTATAATTACACTCAAATTTTAATTTTTATATACACCTAATTCAGTATACCATCTCTAGCCATTATTAAGCACCTTTAGTTAATTCTGCTTTCGTTAATTTTCTCCACAACACAATATTATGTACGTAATGTACATGCATATAAATAGCCTTAAATACTTGATTAATTACTTAATTAATTACTTCATTAAATGTTTATATAACACAAAAATTCACTAGGTATGCCGTTAAGATACTCGCACATTGTAGGATCTCTTTTTGAAGTTTATTTGATAAACTGTTGTTGTTTCCAGATAAGTGGGACTGTCTCCAGGTGCATCTGGCCCGGATGTTGTCACCTGTCCTTGGAGACCACACCTACTCCTCCAGAGTTCAATACATGATGGGCAAGCCAACAGTGGTCAATGCAGCAGTAGCCACTCCAAAACCACAGGTAACTGACCAAAATTGACCACACCTGTCCAGTAATTAAAGTGTTACATCAGGGTTTTTAGTATACAGCATCCCAGCTATGATGATGGTTTCTGCACAACACTGACTAAAAATTGGGAGTTATTTTCAGGTCAAATTTGTTGGCGTCTTTCTTGTCACCATCTTCTAAAGAAGTCATTATTGTGAAGAAACTGCTGAAACTTACTGCACCAGACACTTCAAACATGTTAACCTGGCATGTGTTCACGCTCATAACTGTGTAAGATATGTTCATTCTGCATCCTTGTGCAATAAGTATGTGTGCATTTATTAATGTTTCAGTAAACCCATTAAATAATGACCGCATACATTATTGACATTTTTACTTACAGATTCTTCCGGAGCTTCTAGAGAGTCAATTACGAATGAGATTTATTCGCTGAAAAAGACATCATCCCTTTGCACCTACACTGCAATCAGCTGGTCATTCCACAGCTGAACTCCGAGGGAAAGTTCCCAAACAAGATGCGCAGCAGGATGTGGGTGACCATAAGGGCCCCCATGCCAGACTATTTTTACTGGACACTTGACCAGCTGGGTTTAGAACCACCCGAGGGCTGGCGTCCAGTGGTTGAGAAGATTGCAGATGGCGACACTAGTACTCAGGAGCTTGATCATGCCACTGATGGACAAGCTGGTCTTAATACTGGTGACCAGAGTGGTGACCAGAGTGGTGACCAGTGACCACCCCAGTTAAGCACCAGTAGTGGACCAAGTATTCTTAGATTCTTTAGCATTATGTTGTACCCAAAGCTGGTTGCCTTCGGCAAAGTCATTCACTCATGTTGATGGCCGTGTCCACTTATGCTTGATTCTGGGTATTCTCAGTCATAATTCAATTACAGTTTTACTGTGTCAACATAGCAGACAACAGGTGCCACCTCCTCACAACAATATGCATCCACGAGACCATAGAGATGGTGCCTTTATAAAATGCCTCTGACAAGTGTTTTTAAGAATTTTCCTAGTTAAATTTTGCAACTTGTAGTGCTTCACTCATATCCTGTAATCATCCATTCAGTAGCAGTGAGGTCAGCAATTTAGTGAATGGCAATCTGGCACAGTGACAGTACATCAGTGATCTTATAGTTAATTGACTTCATTATTCACACCAGGCCAGAGATAGCTTTAATCTGTATTCTGGCTAGAGTTTTGCTGGTTGCTTAGTGGCTCACTTCTTTGTGGCATCTTTGTGACATCTTTGTGACATCTTAATCACATGATCACAACAAAGTGATGGAAGAACTAAGCATGGTCTCCTGATAAAATATGTGTTCATGCAGAATTTCATATTTTTTGCATTTCGGCAATGTCTTTTTTGTTTAAATTTCTGCCTTAAGTAACAGATAATGCTGAAACTTGCTTGATTGCTTTAGTTTTGAAACCAACTGAAGTTGATTAAAAGGAAAAAGCAACACGTACAGGGAATTAAAAGTGTGAATTTATTGCATTATGAAGAAGAAATGCAAAGACATATTTAGAAGAATAATATGTGGAAAAGTCCTAATACTCTAAATGGTATAAAAGTCATGTTCATTACCTGTTTGTTTTGATTTATCATAACAAAGACAATTTTGGCACCTTGAGGATATGTCTCTGACTGTGAATAGTGAGATTCTGATTATGAGACAGTGATACATACCTCCCTCATTTTAAAACAATTAACTACTAGGTATATACATAAGAAAAACAAGACTGAATATCTAAGTTCCAGTCAGTTCTCTCTCCTTACTGATTCACTGCAGAAAATGTTAAATTTATTTCATGGCAAATTAACCCCTTCCTTAGCACTCTGACTTTTCAATTATAAAATACCCCACTGCAAAAAACTGATCTTGGTTTACTATTCGTGTTGATACTTTGCAACTGTTACACAATATTTTAAAACTGGATACACATCAGCTCAATTTCTATGACAGAGTATGAATTATATTGCATAGATAGTGATCAAAACAGTTTGCTTTTCTCAGACCTCATTACTGTAATTTTTTCAACCTCAGAACTTGATCTCAATACAAGTTGCCTTCCTTTCAGACCAAAGGCAGTCCTCTAAGTCTAAGCTGATATATAAGTTCCTGATTACAATATGATTAAATATGTGATGAATTATAAAAGTTAATACTTTCTACATGTAAATGTCATAAAAAATAAAGAGAACATAATGATTGATGAATGTCATTACAACAATGAAGTGTATGTTTAAATGAAAGTTTAAGGTCCCATTTTTGTTTGTTGTATGATACAAGAAAATCCACTAAATCTAAAGAAAATGTTTACATAAAAATGCCACCTCTACTCTTTAATTGTAAGTTTCATGACATAAAGTAGACATCACGGCCATGTAGTTGTCCGTGCCCCAGGTCAGACCTAGAACAGCTGATCAACATATTTGTGAACACATTTAAAAGAATTTTAAATAAATTACTGATACATAACTTATTATAAGGTCCTTGAATGCTATAGCTAGCTCTATGGCATGTGTTATGGCAATTATACCCAGTATACTGTTGTAACATGTATTTGTAATGTGTCACATATAACACACTGCAATACCTTTGTGTCACAGCTGGCACATTGCAATGTCTTATACCAGATATTCTGTGGATTGACGTAATTTTAAGAGCTTTAATTCAATTCTGATAAGGCCCTCGGTAGTTGAACCCTAGCCTAATTTTCAAATGTTGAAGAGTTTGGTCCTAAGAACAATTTTCAGAGATTTCTGTTTTCAATCTTGGCTCATGCCAACAAAATGGCCTAATATGTTACACTGTCATGATGTAATAATTGGTCTTAAAGTCCTCAACTTGACTGGTTAGCAGAGGCCCATTGTTGCACTGGTAACATCTTTTTAGGAGTGTACACATTTTTCTGTACTGGGTGCCTGTACAAGCGGTCCTCTCCTCCCAACACGTCAACATGACCCACCTGAAACCATCAAAAGTGTATTGTAAAAGTATATAGTCATGGAGAAGAAAAGAATGCTTTGGTAAATAATGGCTGTGAACTGAAATGCTGTACATTTACAGGCAAATGATAGTCTTGAGTTTATAAATTATTTTCTAAAGGGATTAAAAATATTACAATAAGATTTTGAAAAAAATTAATCTTTATTGAAAATTCAGATGGTCTTTTTACAGGACACTGAACAGGAGAATCTCATTGTTGGTTGTGTTTGGTGTAATTGGGCCACGTGTGAAGAATGTGTCAAGAGTGCATGTTATGAGAAATGAGGTGTTGACTGTTATAGAAAAGTGATGAAATACACATATTGTATATTGGCAGGTGCTAGCATACAGTTACACTTTTGTGCATTAATCTTAAGCATAAAATGACATGTTATATACCTGGTTCCATTTTGTCCCTTCGTCCATCATCTGCATCTGTTTCCTGGAGTAGATCCAGTCTGATGCTTGTTTAGTAAGACTTCGACTTAGGCGATCATGTTCCTTTTTCTCTTTGTCCAGACGCTTTATGAGCTCTGCTCTGGCAGCTTCACTTGTGCCCAGTGCATTCTGAAATGGATTTGAAATTATTTTCATTTCCTTAAGAAAAAGTTACCTTACCTTTAACTTATCTCAGTATTCAGTTTGGCAAGCAGAAAAGTATATCAGATTACCCTTTCAGAAAGATATCATTGGATAGGTTTAAATGATGACTTACAGTATTCATCAATCTAAGAGGTATAAAGTTGCATTTTATTGCAAAAGGAAATGTATTTTCAAAAAAAAAAAAAAAAAAAAGAAAGAAAGATAATAATAAACAAACAAATAAAAACAGCATAATTACATCATGTTTACCCATAAGAAGTTTCTGCAAATCATGTAATTCAACTCACTCATCATAATGTATTCTGCACAAGTAAATTTATTGTAAAAATATTATAAACTGGTACCACCACCATACTCACTGTCACATTGATGGCATGTGTCTGTGCACCCTTCACTTTCTTGATAAGTTCCCCATTGTCTTGCTTCAACCTATGCACCTCCCTTTTCAGTTTGTCATTCTCAGCTTCCAACACCTAGAAGAAAACACAACTTGCTATAGAATTTCTATTTGAGCAGTCACATTTATTCATTCAAAGCTTTCAGGCAACTAATTCATGGCATAGCCTCACCAGTTATATATAATATCGATCATTTTACATCTGATGGGTGCCAGCTTCTTCATTTTCATATCTTGATCCATATCAAATCATTCTGAGTTTCAGAGGACACTGGAAACCCACTTCTCTACTATCAACATGTTTAGTACCATGCTGAGATAGTGGAGAGCTGAGTCTTCAGTGTCCTCTGAAACTCAAGGGTGTATCAATTGGGCATTTTCAAAACTTGAAAATGAAGGAGCTAAACTGGACTTCACCTAAAAATCTGGGTAACTCCTGTACACCAGTCAGCAATAACTCTTAAAAGCCATGACTGAGTCCAGTATTACACTGACCTCATTCCTCCTGATTATGTCCTTGATTTTCATAGGTGAAGGGGGCCTATCTATGTCAGCTCCGGCCGCCCTGCTGGGTGGGCGTGCCCCTACTCCTTTAGTGGTTCGTTCCTGGTCATATAACTCCTGGTACTTCTTAGCCACCTCCTGGGCTTTCTGCAGCTCCTTCTCCATGGATTGCACCTTCACATCAGCTAAAGTAACATCACAAAAATATTAAATTTTTTTGCATTAAATTTAAATAGCTTAAACAAAATATTCCTTTGGTCATAATACAGCCTTGGAATATCCAGGGTTTTATTATAGGGTGGGAGAATGACAGAATTGAAATTTATTTACTAAAAATTTCTATATTTTATTTACAAATATTGAAAACTATTATTAAATAAAAGTAGTGTGCTTCATGATTTTATATTTGTATCATCCCCAATGGACAGAATTAAAAGTAAATAATTATATATTGGTACACATAGGTCAGTTCTTAATTGCTATTAAGTGTGCCATTCTTTCTTGTTAGTCTTTATGCATTTTTCATATTTTACTCAAACATTCAAACAAACAAAAATGCCTTGACATGGGTCATTGAATAGTGCTTTTCTCTTCTCACACTTACCAGTACCACTGATTTTTCTACCCAACTTGAACGCACTTCAAGATTTTTTTTTTTTTGTGATTAATCGAAATAAAAAGATTTAAAAATTGAGCATAATGGGTAGGGCAGTGGTGCAGAGTGATCCAAGGGAAAAATATCAACTTCAATCATTACCTTCTTTTGCCTTCCTCTCAAACATCTTCATGAGTTTGATTGCATTAGTCCTGGACAACTCGCACTCATGCTTCAGTCTCTGGTTCCGCCAGTTCATTTTCTTCATCTCATCCATCTTGCCATGCAATGCCAGCTCAGTTTTCACTTTCTGTTGCTGCACAGCTATGTTTCTCATCATAACTGCCTTCAGCTCATATGCCAAATCCTGCTCTTCAGGGGTCAATTTAGGCCTAAAAATTAACAAAAAATGATGGGCATTTTACATTGTTGTATTAAATGCTTTCAGAACAGTCATGACTTGACACAGAAGCAGCTTACCTGAGTGATACTCTAACATGTAACAGTTTTAAGACCCGAGCTCCTACAGACCTCGATAATGTCTTAAAATTTGAAATCCCATGTTCAACCCCATGTTCAACTATTAAGTCAATGGCCAATTTTATGAAAATTTAATGTTAAATTGTTATATATATTTTACACTCCCTCTGCTACAGTTATAGTACTGGTAAGAAGCTAGTGCATTCATCAACAAATGCAGACAAAATTAAATATACTGTACCAGTACAGTATATGATATCCAACTAAAACTGCAAATTAAAACATGTGATTGCTTACACATAAATTTCCTCTTCTTCTTCTGCTTCCTTTGGTTTTTCTGCAGCTTGGTCCTGTAAACATAAAGAAAATAACATAAAGAAACATACCATTATTTATTCCAAAATGTTGTATTTGCCATTTATATATACTGTAATTGCAAAAGCGCTGGTACTCATTAACCTTTTTTATATCTGAACATGACACCAAAAGTAAACAATTCAGACTTAACGACCTACATACACTTATACACAAAGACAATTTTTGATTAAATTACTAGCACCCCATTGTCATTGACTGTGTGTAATACTTTACAATGCTAGAATATGTTCCTGTTTTAAGTGTTTAACGTTGAATACACGTTTGAAACTGTCAATAAACATTGCAATTTTCAATGATATCTGAAAAAATATAACATAAAAATTGAATTAAACTGAGACGCCTGAATATTGGAAAATTATTTATCGTGTGGTAATGCGAGTATCATGACTGACCATGGCGCATAAATTAGTGAAATATACCTGTTTTTTATCTGCAGGTGCTCCCTGTGCCGCCATGATTGTTGTCATATGCGGTTGCCGGGGAAATGACGTCAGAGTTTGGGAAATTTAAGAGCCTCGCTTTCGAAAGCGCCTGATATTTACACAAAAATTGTGACGTATTTCACACACGGATAAAATGCCTTACGTGTCGGGTGGTAAGTAAAAGATAAAAAATCTTACAAATCTCAGTTATGATAGCTTTTGTAAACTCTACACTTGATGATTATTTGAGTTAAGACCTAATGTATTGCTTTATGATACTTTTTATTGATATATACGTTTGATTTTTGCAATATATTCGATGGTAATTGACGCTGACTCAGCATCGTAAAAGTAGGTATATCAGAAAAATTTTCAAACTGATCAGAAAATTAAAATACTTATATCATCTGAAAGGTAATGCAAAAACCGGATGAAATCATTTGGAATTTTTTAAATATTCCTACAAGCAACGAAGATACTTCTCAGCTCAAAAGCTGTGCCCACTGACCAGCAGTGATCACTCAGGCGCAGCAGAGCACCCTGTGTGTCTTTGTGTGCTCAGCCTATTGTCTGGCTCACATAGCCTGTGACTAATCAGGGCAGAGCTATTTCCCTGTGGTAATTTTCACATCATGTAATATTGCGGATTAAATTAACTATACTTCGCAACCTTCAAATTTCATGATTTTTCTACATAATATAGCAAATTTCATAAACTTTGCTGGATATAAATTTCAAAAAGATGATACCAGCACTTACCTGAAATTTTTTAGCATTTTGTAGAGGCAAAACTTAAAACAAGCAGAACCGAAACTTGTCAAAGACTGCAACATGGGAAAATCATGTGACCGGATTTTACTCTTTGATTTACAACTTATTTAGTTAATGGCTTGTATTAGTTTTTTTACGCAGCGCTAAAAGAGAGATTTAAAAAAGGGGTTCCATAGGCGAACTGTCAGCAGGCCGACTTCAGTTTAACACTTCACTGCCCGTGGACAGTTACGACTGTAGCGCCCCTAGCGGATTGTGATCTACCTAGTAAAAGTGTCTTAACAGTAGCAAGTAACAAATTAAAAATTGTTACTTGCTACTGTTATTTTATTAAAACGTCAATTACCATTCCTCCTGGAACTTGTAGTAAAGCACTGGTTCTAGTGCAGCGCAGTATTAAAACTTGTCTCATAATTGAATTTGTCCGTAAATAACTTCAAAAATAAGCAGATCTTCGAGTATCTTCTGTATTTTATGTTTATTTATCTGTTTACCTACTTCATTATTTGATAAGTAATTTCTTTGATTTGAAGGAGGGGAAGTCTTGGACAGTAGGTCCAACTGGAGGCTGTCCTACATCCCAGAGCTGTTTTGGGCTGTGGTGGAATTCTTCGTTCTTTTGTATGTATATGTACATTTTACTAAGGATTAGAAGTGCAAATGGTTTTAATTGTGGCTAAATATTTTAAACTAGAGCATAGTGATTTGAAATACATCTAAATCTACTAAATAGTTGCTGCAACACTACATTCAAAACATTTTGCACATATTTTCAAAGAAAAGAAAAATCAGTTACTTTTAAAAGTTACCAGAGTGCATATACTGTATATTATTATAAAAATTGATCATTTAATTTATTTGGTTGTTGTTTAATAAAGTGAAACTTTATCTCAGTAAATATTATGCTGGTTTAATGTTTTAGATGGTTTGAGAAGATTCCACTTACTAATTATATAGCTTGAAACTTATTCTGAAGTTTCCTAATAACAGGCACTATGAATTGGAATTTGAAGTTTGTATAAAAAGAATACCAATTATATGGAAGTAAGTGCTGTTTGTATTTTGTTTACTCATTGTTGATTTGTTCTCTTTTCAGTTTTAGGACGATGATTTCGGTAAGGCTGGGACATTGAAACCAATTTTAATGAACTCATATGATAATTGATATTATAAAACTTACTCCAACATGTCACAATGTTTTGGTTTTCTTATTGGACTCAGTGTAAAAACAGTGAAATTCAGTGTTATTACATTTAAAAGGAAAATAGAAATAATCTAATTGATAGGTTTCATGAAAGCACCAGTCCTGTAATTTGCATCTTAGCATTATCTTAAAGGTTAAAAACATTTTGGTGTCAGTTTTGGTTATTAATGGCATTTTGTGTTGTAATTTTTGATTATTTTTCATAATTTGTATCTTTTTAGCCATCAATGACAAAACGTGGCAGCCAGTACACCTCAGACTACAGACCCAGTGGAGGGTAAGTTTGCACTCTTACTTGTATCTTTTAAAAATACGTAAGTTATAAAGTTTGAGCAAAGGGACGAGTACATTTATTATCACTGTATTATATTTAATGACCACCATTAGAATTTTGTTTGCCTCACTATATACCAAGTTTTCCATGATCTCAGCCAGATTTGTTATCTGTCAAGGGCTAACTTGAACACAGAACAGTTTAACCTAAGTCTGATGACTAGGTTGCTTAACATTGGATTTAAAATGGTAAAGCCTAGTGGACACCTGTAATGTTCACAGGACACTGTATTATTATAATAATATTGTAGGTTTTGAATGTCACCTTCTCCTAGCCCTATGCTCATATAGTTTAATTATTTCTTTATACTTCTTTACAGCCCTCCCAGGCCCCCCAGGAGAAGAATGGGAGGAATAGGAGGGGGTGGTGGTAAGTAATGAAAAAGCACATAAATCAGGTGTTAAGCAAAACTCGAGAAGTATTCAAATAAATCTTACAGTCCCTGAGTTGAATATTGGAAGTTTTCTGTTGGCAGATTTTCCATCTGTTGTTACATAAGTATTTTTTGTATGTGATTTATTTTTTAAGAAATTGAGTATCGGGAAAACTCGATCAGAAATGTATAAAATGGTGCATATAAAGTCAGTGGTTTGTGAAATGTCCATAACCTTGATGCATCAGTGAAATTGTTAAAAATATAAGACTGAGTTTATCATTTTATTTCCAGGTGGGCCATCACCACCTCCCATGGCTGGTGGTGGATGAGGAAGGTAAGCACCCTCTAGTGACTGTCTTCAGTCCAGAGGGTGCGCCACCAGTACTTTGTCAAGACAGACCATGCACTTAATTTGAAGAGAATTCGGAAGATGGTGATGTTCAGTTGGAGAAGGAACTGTCTCTAAAAGTCTCCTGTAAATTTTTGCAAAGAAAGGATGTCAGTTTCTGTATCCCAGCAGTGAATCACAAGAAGATAAAATCCAGTCCTGCCTACAGGAACATTATTCTCCTCAACATTGTAACAAAGAGGAAACAGTTTGATAACTCAAATTACTGGATAGTATAGCAGTACTTTTAACAAGAGAAACTGGAGGCTCAGATTTTAAAGAATGTATCATTAAGATAGATTTAAGTAATTGATCAATTCCTCAGCCCTTACAAGACTTTTTTTCCATTTTTTGCTAGAATTGATGCTACAACCAAAATTTTTTTCAGAGGGGCTACAGTATAATGATATTGTGCAATAATTATTTTTCTCTTGTTAGTTGGAAGTGCAGGTAATGTCTTGGCACTTGTAGTGTATGTTATGCCTGTGTAAAACACCCACCAATAGTTTTGTACATAACATTATGATGTGATGATGTCATGAAAGAAAATGGATATTGACTGTGCTTTACACAGATTATGATGAATCTCCAACAAAACCTACTCTAGGGAAGGGAGAGTCTGATGAACATGATGTGCACTACAGTATTTAATACAATATTCAAATATATTTTATTAGTAAAATGATACTAAAAATGAATAAAAAAATATTTAACAGTATTATTCACCTATCTTTTAAGTTTTCATTTCCTGTTTTTAATATTTAAATAAAATGCAGGTTTTAAATTAAACTGCAGCTGAACTGTTCTTTCTTAATTAATGCCTTCAAAGGGTCAATCATGTCAGCATAACAAATGTTAAATACAGACAGTTCCTGTACAATACAGAGCTGGAATTTCATGGCTAAATGTCCAAAACATTTCATTGGTTAAATAACATGTCTCTATCGTCTTGTTTTCAACATCCATACTAAACTGAGGAATAATCAATACAACAGCAAAATAAACAAGACTGTTTATATTTTCTTTCCATTCATATGGTTAATTTCTCTTATATAAAAGTATTTGTCTTCAGCAGGTCTTTCAGTCTGTAAGTTGTCATAATGCACAAAGCATTTATAAATCATCACTGCAACTTGCCATTCCTGTGCTGGAGCTGCACAGCATCTGGTGGTCAAATGCTCTGCCAATCACATCTGATAGTGATATTATAATGTTGTATCTGAACCTTGGCCACTGTTGTGGCGTGCTACTGTTGCAGTTTTTAGTGCCATGTATCCTTGGTCACATACAGTTTTGATATACTACTGCTGCACTCACTAGTTCTATATATCCTTTCACATTTCTCATGTGCTACTGCTGCACTGTGCAGCCACATATACAGCTCACTAGTCCTACATTTCCACTGTCACGTTTCTGATGTGCTATAACTGCAGTGTGTAGTCATATGTATCCTCGGCCAAATACAGTTTTGATGTACTACTGCTGTGTTCGCTGGTCCTACACATCCTGATCCTCTGTCACATTTCTCTACTGCTGCATCGTGCAGCCTGGCCACATACAGTTCAGATGTACTACTGCTGCATATGTATCTTGGTCACTCTTAGTTATGTTCTACTGCTGCATCTGGTAGTCATATATATCTTTGATCACATGTAAACTTTCTGCATAACGAGCTTCATTGACTATGGACTGCACTTTCCACCTAAAAGACATGAAATATACTTAAATGTTAAATGCACATGGAGTAAAAAAAAATCCCCAACAGTATGTTGCTATAATGACACAAGAAAGAGCTGAATGCAACACAACACTCAAAGCCACTCCAGAGTACTTATAACAGGCACAAATTCAGACTGTATCAGAAGTTATCATATCTTACAATGGTAGCTGACACTTAAATGTAGTTTTCAGAGTGTTGAGACTCCTACAAGACCAAAGGGTCCTTCTGTATTGATAGCAATGCAGTATTTACTTTTGTCTGATCTCCTTCCATCTGACCATGTGGTTGAGTAGTAACTGTTCTGCTGGAGGGGCTTGGTCCTGGTCCTGAAACAAGAAAATTTAACTTCTGAATCAATCATACTAAATAACTTTCATGCATAATTAAGGCATCGATCTCAAGGTTCTTGTCCCTATGGTGCTTGAGCTAGCATATTACATTTTGATCTGTTCTCCCCCCCCCCACCCCACCCTGTAAAAAAAAAATTAATGAATAAAATAAAATAAAAACCTAAATAGATAAATAAATAATAACAATTATAATTTTATTCATATATATTTATTTATCGTATTCTTTAAAAAATAACAATTATCACTACTATGACACAGGAATTCTATCTTGGATGAAACCATTCACCAGTTTGTAAAGATGAGCCCAGAGTACAGGTACTTACAGCATGTACATCCAGAGGCAGATCAGGTTGAGGTACTGGTGAGGGCACTCTCAGGTCAGTGTGCATGAATGCATGACCAGGTTCACGCTTTACTGGACCAAGGGGAGCAGGGAGACGATACACATTCTTAGGGCCTTCTGCTTCCTGAGTAATACACAGAAAATTAAATAATGTTTTTTTTTCTTCTTTTTTTTTTTTTGGTAAATATAATTCTATATCAATGTTAGTGATGTTACTTAAAGATAAAATAGAATTACCATATAAGTTACAATTGGGACAGAAATAAGTTTAAATAGTATGTTAACTTTGAGCACTGGAATGAAGCTTGCACACACAAACACATACACTTTCACAAAGACAATCACTAGGTACAGTTTTTAATTTGTATATAAGCTCAGCAAAGTCTGAAAACCTTTATACCTCCTCATCGCTCAACTCCTCTGGTTCAGGCGTCTCTAATCTCTTGATGCCCAGCTCTCTGTTGTGTGGTTGGTTGCGTATCCAGGCTCGACACACAGGATACAGTGGGGTGTTTTCTGTGAACTGAGCCAGATCCACACTACGGTCAAACAGTTTCATTACATAGGTGTCTGAAAGCAAACATTCAACTAAAGTTCATGAGCAAAATCTGTTGATCTACCTGACATTTATAAGAGGTCACTATACCACCTAGTGGTCAGTGAGTAACAACATCTACTCACATCAGACTGATGAAGGCCTACGTCCAGGTAAGCTAAGGATATAAAAGTATATTGACTCACGTTTGATAATTATCATATATCACAGTACTTACGGTGATACTGGCCCATCTCACCACCAGGCCCATCATCTTTTCTCTTTCTTTTCTTGGCTGCTGGAGACTTTGTACTGCTGCCTGGTGTGCTAATGGTGGATTTTCTTGGTGTACTCACTCTGGAAACAGAAAACAGAAAAACGGATGTAGTTCTAGCCATAGTTAACACACACACACACACACACCTCTATTTAGCTTCTATCAGGTTGTTCAGTTGTGAACGACATACATCTTTACTTACAAATAAGTACAGCAGTTGTTTAAGTTTAACTAAGGTGGTCATATTCCGCGCAAATACAAGTCTTTTAAAGTCCAGCTATATTTATAAATATTAGTATATATAGATAATTGAAAATGATTTTCATTTCTTTCTTTTCTTTTTTTTTTTTTTTTTTTTGCTTTTATGTGTCAATGTTTCTTATCACTAAATTAAATGTGTTTTGTTTTGGACTAGGTCCCAATATACAGACATTAGTAAAAGCATTCAAACCAGATGATAAAGAATATGGCATGCTCACTTGACTGGAGAGTCTTCAGTGGGCTCCTCTTTTATCTGAATGTCAACATCTATCTCTATGCTGGAATATTAACAGAGAAGTTAATACAGACAAGAATGAAGAAAAAACTGATACAGTCAATGCCAAAGTAAGGCAAGCAGAAACAACATTTAACACCTCAAAATATAAATTGATATCTTGGGCACTGCAGAAAACATTTCTAAAAAGAATAATAATAATTATAATCAAATAAATAATTACTGACAATAAAAATTTAAACTGATTCCAAGAAGGAAATGGGATTGGTATATTTAGATTGTTTAAACCTCACCCAGGTATAAATTGACCATTTAGGAATTACACTAAAATACACAGCAACGTTGGTAAATTTTTTAAAATGTTGTTTACCTATCGTCTTTCTTATCCACAAGTGTCTGCAACACCCCATCCAGGCGACTTCTGGCAGTTACAACCTCTGTGTTGTTGTCTACAAAAACAATGATAGCAATGCAAAAGACAATGTTAAAAAATGTAACAAAACCAATCAGTCACACACAATGTCCTCTGAATCTTAGACTTTTAATTTGAATGACAGTGGGCGCAATGCATTTTCTCTATTGTCTAATGTAATTTTTGACGAGACCTGATTTTCATTTATACTTCAAGTTGTTTTAGGGTCAAAACACGGTAACGGTGCCATGGGTGTCAAAATTTTTTTTGTCTCATTGAAATTTAAAATTTTTACATTTTTGTAGAAAACAAATCAAATTTTCAGATAATGTAAGTTTCATTGATATACTCCCAGTACTTTTTCTGTGAGCCACTGGGAAACAAAAATGAAAAAAAAAATTGTCTCTGACGGGACACATGGTCATATTGGCCTGAGTCAGATATTAGGTTGTTTTTTCAAGTTTTTATCAACCATATATATGTTGTATATATATATATGTTAAACTAATCAGAAGTAATAGTTTAACATAGAAAACTGCCACATATCACTTATTTTGAGTAAAAAATTATTTAGCACAAGGAGTGGTGTGTCCCGTCAGAGACATTTGACTTCGAAAAGTTTTCATATTTTCCACATCTGGTAGGTTGTATAAATGAAACTTAAAATCCTCTTTTAAATAATGATAAGTAATGATTATAGCTAAAAATTACAAA